CTTAGCTTTAGCAAGGTTGCTGTGTCATGTGTCTTCAGGCCACACCCTAATGCCACTAGAATAATGCTTTGTGTTCTTGAAGCTTGGCACACATGCATATGCCTAATAGCTTCTTTGAGACTGAGGAACATCCTCTTCTCCAGTGGTTCCAGGGGTGAGGCAGTCTTGCATGGTGGGAAGGCACCACCTCTAGGTTGAAGTCAGGATCATCATTTGGAGCAGCAACAAGGGGAGGGGCTTCCTCTTTAGTTCCTAGCCCTCCCCTATTTGGTCAGCTGGCATCTTTTGGTTTTACCTTGTAATGTGTTAATTATTACAGTAAGATGCCTTGAAAAGTGGGGTATAAATATTTTACTGAACAGGGGGCTTTTTGGTTTTGCTCTTACCAGAGCATGCAGAATAACAGTTATTCACTCAAAATTCTCCCTCTCCCCCCACCTTAGCTGTGTATAGGGTGAGCTCTGGATCACCTCCCACTTTCTGCAAATCACAACGCTGGAAAATGCATGGCACACTGGTCCAGTGTGCCTCCCTGCTTGACTTGCCCACCCCTTACACATGGCCACTTTTGTTCCTGTCCTTAGGCTGGGTGAAGCCTTGCTCCTCTCAGCCATGTAATGCACGCCTGCCTCGTTCTTGTTAGAGCCCAAACAAGCTTGGAGTGCCACCCTGGGTGGGGAAGAGGAAGGAACAGCCTTCCTCCCAGATTGTTTTCCCTTGCCAAAATAGCGTTGGAGGGAGTTATTTCCCCTTGTTATTGCTCCACACAGAGTATTCTGTGCATATGGAGCAACAAAAACAAGGAAATAACTGCCCAGGGCTGTTTCCATGCAGAAAAATAGCTTGGGGAGGAAGGCCTTCCTCCCCTTGCAGCGGTGCTCCGCTTAGTCTCAAGACCATCAAGATGCCTGGATCCAAACATGTAGTTTGGCCCTTAGGTAAGCCCCTTCCTAAGATACATATAGTAACCCACCAAGTTCTAGCTAACACTGATAGAACACACAGCTCCCTGTAGGCTGCTCATCAGCCCACTTTCATCAGTCTTCCTTTTCTCCAGGAGCAGGGGGAGTGGTTGGAAGAGAAACCAGAAGAAGGTCCAGGGCAGAACTGTCTTGTCTCATCAGAAATTCCCCTGAAAACTCCTCCCTAAATTTTTAGAGTTGTAGAACTATCAGATAAAACTAAAGAGGAATAGAAAGACTTAGTGGGATTTCCCAAGCTGTCCAAGTAAGCTTTCCTTCAGGGTTTATCTAGGGCCCTCTCAGTTCCCTTTACTGCATTCTTGCACAATTTGGGCAAGGCAGAATGGCAAGCCACAGCCCTTAAGGTTCTCTAAAAATATATATACCCTCTTGCAAGAGATGCTTGTTTCAGGCAAGGGGCTAATGGGAAGCTGCCCAATACTTATACCCAGCCACAACTAGACCTCCTTCAGCTCATAACCTGTATGGTTGAGTGACAGCTCCTGATTAAACTAGGCACACCTATGCTCCTGGCTTCCTGAGGGCTGCTGACTAACAGGAGGCAGTCATTCTCTTGTCTCACAAACACTAATAGGCTGGACTTGAGCTCAGTCCTCGAGAAGGTCTGGCTAAAGGACTGAGCACGGACATGTTAAATTTTTTCAACAAAAGAATACTTTATTGAATATATAACATAATAAGATAACATCAAACATTTCTATAATTACAAACATTTCAAAGTACAATTTTGTATATCAATATTGTAGATATATAAAAGGGAAAAAACATTTTTGGTTCAGGTTTACAAAAGAAAACATTTGCATCTATTCGTTTGTGCTCTTAATTACTTACAAAAAATAGCTCAAAACAGACCTGTTAAAATGCCAGGCTTGAGACTAGGATGCAAAAAGAAAAAAATCTTAGTGTCCTGAGAGAGGTCTCTTTGATCACCCCCCCCACCTGAAACCCTCAGTACATTCCGAACCTGCTTCTGAGCCTGTCCCATAAAACATCTTTCCTACAGAACATGTATTTAAAAGTAGGTGCTAGGACAAAGGGAGCAGAAATCAGTGGAAAAAATTATGCAACACAGTTAAACTATGGAACTGGGGTTCTCATAGATGAAATGGGATGGGTTATGAGGATAATTCTAGGGATGCCAAGCTTATTCATGTGGCATACAGACCTCATATTGAGGCCTGCAATCCAGTAGTGATGTTACTTCCCCCTTATCTCCTTCCATATATCTGTGGCATAACCGGAATGTGCATTTTCTTCTGTCCCAAAATTAAGAACCAGGGCACCTTTAAAATTTTGCTTTTAACATTGGTTTTTGGGTGGTGGTTGTTGTTGGGTTGTTGTTGTTTTTTAACATAAGATCATAAGAGAAGCCGTGCTGGATCAGGCCAATGGCCCATCCAGTCCAATACTCTGTGTCACACAGTGGCCAAAACCCAGGTGCCATCAGGAGGCCCACCAGTGGGGCCAGAACTCCAGAAACCCTCCCACCGTGGCCCCCTAAGCGGCAGGAATACAGAGCATCACTACCCCAGACATTGTGCTCCATCTATACCTTGTGGCTAATAGCCACTGATGAGTGGATGAGAAACGTGATAAATAAGAAATGAATAATGGGATGCAGAGATTTTCCCCTGTAAGTTACTGTTTCAAAAATCCAGTTAAGGCAAAGACTGATTTATAGTGCAGTCCTACGCAGAGTTACTGCAGTCTTAGCCCATGGAATTCAGTGGGCTTAGAGTGGAGCAACTGTGCCTAGGATTGCACTGCTAAAGTGGTAACCATCTGTCAGCTACCCGGTGACCCATAGGATTATCGTATTCAGATCTACCCACTGACCCACAGGACATTATCATATTCAGATCTCAGTAAACAGTCCTGAAAAATATCCATGTGTAATACACTTGCTCAAATGCTTGTTGTGGCAAAAGAGATGACGGAGATAGTGTCATCCCTAATATGTGACAAGCAACTAGACTCACATTTTCCATTGTGGAAGATTCATGCGTGAGGAGAGGAGGGGCAGTATGCTTCAGGTGGGTTAGTCTTATAACTTGCTACAACATAGCTGACAGGGATGGAGCGGGGACACTTGGATATATAATGTATCTTAACGGACTAAACTATCCTTAATATTTTTCAGGGCACACACTTTGTCTCCAACTGATCACCTGGCAGCGTTTTATCTGGCTTTGCAGTTTGCTATATCCCGGCAGGTTAGTTTAAAATTTGGCACACTTTAAGAAGTTGGTGTTGGCAGTGTTAACTAAATTACTTATGTGTTCTGCTGGTTTTCTTGTTTCTAGGCAAAATCTAGGTACATGTGGGTAATATATTTTTTTTCAATGAAGTGCCCGCAAAATATTGTAAATGTATATGGAATACAGCTGTGGTGGTTACTGCTCTCCTGGGTATGTGTTAATTTTTGACCTTCCTGCTGCTTTGGTGTACGAAGAAGTGGAAAGATCATTTGCAGGTTGTTCATACTTGACAATTAAAGGCCTGCTTTCACTTAGATTTTTAAGAGGGATTTAGAAGTATGTTCAGGAAGAATCTGTCCCTCTGCAAGCTGAAAAGTGCAGAATCTTCAGCTCATTCCCATAGCCCCTCCTATCTCAAAATACAGCCAGTGCCTTGTAGTATCTATTTTTCTTTTTGGTAAAAGGAATGCTTTTGGCACTTCTGAACTGGTGCTCTAATTATGCACCAGAAACATATAAACATTCTGATTGTGACAGAGGACAAGACTCTTGTTGGTGACAGTACTAGTTATAGTCTCATCCTGCAGCCTGAATTCTCCAGCGTCAGACTTGCAGATCTCCCATGACAGTTGCATCTCAGTGTGCCAGCATACAACTTCTCCAAACATAAGTGATGATATAAACACACATGAATCTTCCTTAAACTGAATCAGACCATTAGTCCATCAAGGTCCGTATTGTCTACTCAGACTGGCGGTTCTCCCGAGGTCTCAGGCAGTGGTCTCTCACATGAGCTTCTATCTGGTCCTTTCATCTGGAGATACCAGGGATTGAACCTGTGACCTTCCGCATGCAAAGCAGGCTTTCTGCCACTGAGCCGTAGCCCCTCCCCCAAACATGCCCTTAGAGGTCACCGGCGCTCTGTTTGCTTACCTAGATGATCTCCATAGCCAGTTCTAGCAATCTTATCCTGAAAGATGGGAGCCAGTCTCTGATTTCAGTGGAGATGTACCGTGTTAAATGGCCTGCAGTTTAGCATCCAGGAATCAAAAACATCACTTTCTTTGTGACTGTGTAGAATCTTGTAGAAACACAGCATTAAGACTGGCCTTTGCAAACCAAGAGCCAGTGTGGTGCAATGGTTGCAATGTCAGACTAGGATCTGGGAGACCCAGGTTCAAATTCCCATTCTGCCATGGAAGCTTACTGGATGACTTTGGGCCAATCACAAACTCTCAGCCTAACCTACCTCACAGGGTTGTTGTGAGGATAAAATGGAGGAGAAGAGAATGATATAGGTTGTTTTGAGTTCTCACAGGGGAGAAAGGCAAGATATAAATGATGTAACTAAATAGATTCAGGTGGGTAGCCATGTTGCTCTGAAGCAACAGAACGAAGAAGAAGAAGAAGAGGAGGAGGAGATGATGATGATTGGATTTATACCCCGCCCCTCACTACCCAAAGGAGTCTCAGAGCGGCTTACAAACTCCTTTCCCTTCCCCTCCCCACAACAGACACCCTGTGAGGTAGGCGGGGCTGAGAGAGCTCTTGACAGAAACTGCTCTTTTTCAAGAACAGCTGTGCCAGAACTATGGCTTGCCCAAGGTCATCCAGCAGGTGCAAGTGTAGGAGTGGGGTATCAAACCCGGTTCTCCCAGTTTAGAGTCCTCACACTTAACCCCTACACCAAACTTGGAGTCTACTGGCAGCTTTAAGACCAACAAAGTTTTATTGAAGGTATACCCTTTTGTGTGTACGCATGCTTCCTCAGATACACCCAAAGGGGTATACTTTGAATAAAACTTTGTTGGTCTTAAAGGTTCCACTGGACTCCAACTTTGTTCTGTAACTAAATCAATTCTGACATTTAATTCTTTGTAGTGTCGTACACTTGCAAAACATGCGCACTTCCACTTATGTATTTATTTAGATTTATATCCTGCCCTTCCCGTGAGTGGGCTCAGGGCGGGTCACAACAATAAATTGCACTCAATAAGTGATTGAAAGCAAGATATTAAGCAATAAAAACAGTTAAAACGGTTAAGAGATGGGCATAGCAGCAATTACATAGTCAGCAGTCCGAAAACGGAACCATTGGACCATGGCTGAGCTATAAAGATCTTATCCGTAGCCGCCTGTCCATTAGCAGAAACTGCAGCAACTGCGGCAGGGAGGCCACTGAATGGACACCCCCACCACCTCACTTAGCTTTTTAAAATGTAATGACGGGGCTCCAACCCAACCTCAGCAGTTCAGACACTCCCGCAGGGCCCTGGGGTAGAGTGCTGGGGTCGCACTGCACTTCCCAGAGCTCGGATAAAAGTGGACGTGGCCAGGCCAGACAGGCTTTGCCACATGAAGAAGAAGAGATTGGATTTATACCCTGCCCTTCACTTGGAGTCTCAGAGTGGCTTACAAACTCCTTTCCCTTCCCCTCCCCACAACGGACACCCTGTGAGGTGGGTGGGGCTGAGAGAACTCTGACACAAACTGCTCTTTTTCAAGGACAGCTGTGCCAGAGCTTGTGACCGACCCAAGGTCACATCAGCAGGTGCAAGTGGAGGAGTGGGGAATCAGACCCGGTTCTCCCAGATTAGAGTCCGCGCACTTAACCACTATACCAAATTGGCAGGAGAACAGCCATTCCAGTGCTTGACCTTGACCTTCAGAAGACAGACTAGAGTCCACACGATACTGAGGCCTGCTACAGGAAGGGAGCAGAAGCGGGAATTGCAGCTGTGGGTGGATTGGCCCTAGAGGGGCCGCTGGTGGCTGGGCTGTAAGCCCAGCCAAGCCCCAGACTCTCTGCCGGCTCCTCAGGGGCCACTTGACTCATCAGCTGTCGTCTTTGGAGTCAGCTCATCCATTGTCTCCTGCACTGCTGTCAGCTTGGAAGAGGAAGCCATGGATGAGCTGATGCCCATTGTGGGGACGACTGGGCTGAGCGCCCCCTGCAGCTCTGGCTTGTAATGTCACAAGGTCCGCTCAGCTTGGTTCATAGCAGGGCCCTTTTAACTTTCCAGTCTGTCCCTCACTGCAACAGTTGGGGCAGGCTCCCGCCTAGGCTCAGGACCAGCCTTGGGGGGTAGCAGGTCACCTGGAAAAAGGTGCCCCCCAGTCTCTTCGTCACTCTGACACTTGCCACAGTGGTGACTGCCACCAAAACAGCTGCCACCATTGATGGCACCATCCCTCACTGGCAGACCTCGCCCTTCTTTTGTGGGAGCCAGTGGTGATGTCATGAGGATCAGTTTAGGGTGGCTAGCAAGGCCAGCCAAAATTGTGGGCTCTTATGTAATTAAAATTACATTTTCTTCTGGACAGCCACGCAGCACCTGAATCTGTTACATAAAGTGCAGCAAAGCCATATTTTGTTCAGGGAAAAAATTCTCTTTTTTAAAATTCTCAAAGCAGGTTTTGCTCCTTGCATTTTGCGCATTTAGATAATATGGAGTTGCTTTGTCTTTCTGTGGCAAGGTTTGATTTTGGAAGTCCAGTCGAGCTTGGCAGCCCACGCCTTTGGGCTGCTTTTAATTGCTAATGTGCCACAATGGACACTGCAAAAAAAAAAATCAGCTCAGTCTCAAGATATGAATATATTGTTATTGGGGCATGCTTTCCATCCTCATGTTTTCATAAACTCCACATGCAGTGGAATTCCTTTAGCAAATGTGTGGTAATGACTCCTTTCAGCTTTTCTTTCCAACAGATACCAGAGGCCTTGGGTTACGTTCGTCAGGCTCTGCAGCTGCAAGGAGACGACGCAAACTCTTTGCATCTCCTTGCCCTCTTGCTTTCAGCACAGAAACACTACCACGATGCTCTGAATATCATTGACATGGCCCTGAGTGAATACCCAGAAAACTTTATGTGAGTAGTTCTTGCAATTTTGTAGCACGCTCCGTAAGGCACAGGACCAAAGAACTGAAATTATTATGGCTTTCTCTTATTATTGTGCTTGCCGTCTTCCACCTTGCAACAAATTCAAGCTTTCCTACTTGGTGAATAATGATGTGGAATCCTACCTCTTTTTATTTTGAATCTGGATGGCCCATCTTGGAATCTAAGCAGGTTTGGCCCTGGTTAGTACTTGGATAAAAGACAATCAAGGAAGTCCAAGGTTGCTACACAGAGGCAGGCCACCTCTGGTCCTCTCTTGCCTTGAGAACCCTGTGGGGTTGCCGTAAGTCAGCTGCGACTTGATGGCACTTGCCAGCACTACCAGAGACATTGTTGTATACATGGAGGTATGAGGGGCACCTGCTTCCATTGGGACCTGCCCATGTATGAAGACTTTCTTTGAAGTTCCTGCTTCATGTTCCTTCACCTTCTGAACTAGTGAGTGGCCCTAAAGGGAAGGACCTTCTCTCTTTTGGCCCTCTATTTAGTGCCCAAATTATTTGTCTTCCAGCTCCAGGCCAAAGCCGTGTGGGTTAGATTGTTGGGTAGCCTTCTAGAGGTTTTATGCTGTCTTATTCGTCAGTGATTTTATGATTGAGGCTGGCTAGTTTTTATGTTTTGATCTTACAGCTTTGTGGTTTAAGTGAGTTTGTTCTCATGATTCTTATACTGTGTAGTGTTATTCATTTGTTTTGTTTTTAATTTTTTTGTTATTTATTGTATTTGAGGGGTTGTTATGTAGATTGTTTGAAAGCGCTTAGGGCTCTTTAGCTTGGAGAAAAGACGACTGAGGGGTGACATGATCGATTATGCATGGGAAAGAGAAGGTAGAGAAAGAGGTACTTTTCTCCCTTTCTCACAGTACAAGAACTCGTGGGCACTCCGTGAAACTGCAGAGCGGTCGGGTTAGAACGGATAAAAGGAAGTACTTCTTCACCCAAAGAGTGATTAACACATGGAATTCACTGCCACAGGAAGTGGTGGGTGCTACAAGCATGGACGGCTTCAAGAGGGAATTAGATAAGCATATGGAGCAGAGGTCCATCAGTGGATATTAGCCACAAGGTATAGATAGGAACTCTCAGGCTAGGGCAAGTGATGCTCTGTCTTCTTGGTGCTTGGGGGGGGGTCAACAGTGGGAGGGCTTTTAATGTCCTGGCCCCACTGCTGGACCTCCTGATGGCACCTGGTATTTCTGGCCACTGTGTGACACAGAGTGTTGGAGTGGATGGGCCTTTGGCCTGATCCAACATTGGCGTCTCTTATGTTCTTATGTTCTTAACAGGTTCCCTCCTGGGATAGAGGTATGGAATAGACTTTTAAAAAACTGGAAAGAGAACTGAGGACTACTGGCAATCAGTTTTCTTTCCCCAAAGAAGTTCTGTGATTTTCCATTGTGAATCCGATATGTTTATAGTATAACAGTGGTCTGATCCAGCAGGGCTCTTCTTATGTCCTTATGTCCTTAACATTTACTTCGCTGCTTTTTTCCCTATGTAAAAGGCCAATAGTTGGGAATAAAGAGCTGCCTCATAAAATTGCTGAGGTGAAGATAGCAGGCACATGGCAGAAAGATGCTTCTTGTGGTCACCTTGCACTTCAGCATGGTTATCCATAAAATGGGTTTCACTCTATAATAAAGAGCGGAATAGAAGTTAAGTATTTGTATGAAAGAGAAGTTCATGACTCATATCCATTATGAATATGTAGGGGTAGCTTTTCTACTACACAGTAAGTAAAGGGATTGTAGTAACTGTGTATCCTACAGTGTCTCTGAGAGGGGGGATTGAGGGGACAAGATTTGGGGAGCCCAAGTCGGCTTGGGGGGCCCTGAAGCTAACCTCATGCTGCATTCATGGAATGTGTTTTTAAAAGGTTTTTTCTAATGCATTTCTGACTGCAGCCACTGGGGGCTCAAAGAAGGCAGAGCACTGTAAAAAGCACTCAGTCAGCCTGCTGGAACTTTCAGCAAAGTTTACTAGGAGGCTGGGGGGAAATGCTTGCTGATCAGATCCTGCTAAAGTCATCAGCCAAGCCAGCATTGGAGTAAGGCAAGACCAGCCAGGACAAGCTACAGACCTTGCCAGGATGGAGCCTCCTAATGTCATTATCTCCACCAGTCTATGGTTTGCTTTTCCCTTTACTTCCACCCAGCTCCTGCACAGCCAGATCTTGCAAAGGGGAAGCCCTGTTAGTGTGTGGTAGCAAAAGAAAAAACCTTCGATTGTCTTCCTCTACATTTCTCTAATTCCTTTCCCAAAGGGCTGCCCTTTGAAGGGTGTTCGGAAGCAGCAGCTGCTTCGTAATGTGGCTGTCGTATTGCTGGACCACATTTCACTCTCATCCCGTTTCACCAGCATGTTGCCAGTTCACTTCCGGGCCAGGTTCAAAGTGCTCTCTGGGATCTTCAAAGCATTAGGCTATCCAGGGCCATAGTATTTCAAACATTGCCTTCTGCGGGATAGATATGTCCAAGCATCGATTGTCACGCCTGGAGATTTTTCTCTGTGTGACCCACCTTCATCTCAAGCATGGTTGGCAGCCACAGCAGATTGGGTCTTCTTGATACGACTTTGGATTCCACAACTTTGGGATACCCTCCCAGGGCAAACTTGCCTGGCCCCATCCTCTCCGGCTGACTTGTCAAGATACTCCTTTTAAAAAGTAATCAGGCTGTGAACGGTGAACTCTTTAAAAATCATTTATGAGAACTGTTAACTGGGGATTTTCATCATTCCCCCCCCCCCCAATTTGGATTGATAGTATTTTGCCGGGTTTTCATTTCTTACTTTATTGACTTAGCTTATTTTATATGTTCTTAATCTACTGAGAACCCTGCTCTCAAGATCTTCTCCAAAATATATACATATTTTTAATTAAACAATATTTGCCCTGTCACAGGGAGAGATAAGTGACAGGCTAATATTTTTCTTCCTACCATTTCTGCCCTGCAAATCACTGCCTCCACACCCTGTCACTTTGCGGCTGTTGGTTAATCAGCCTTCCCAGACATGTCTGCCGCTGCCAGCCATCTACTTTGTCCTTGAGGTAGCCTTGTCAGAATCTTCTCAGATAAACCTCCTGAACGAGTTCCTTGCTGCATCATAGTGAATGAACACTAAGCTGCACCACGAATACTCGTCACTGCATGATCAATAAGTGGACTGCTTTTAAACAAATAGGTATTTCGGCAGTGCAGTCAGCCACTGGGTCTACATTGCAAATGGCAGTTGGTGAAATACTCTCCAGTATGTATTACAGCCTGACCTGGATAGCCCAGGTCTAGGCCAATCCTGGAAGCTAAGCAGGGTCGGCTCTGGTTAGTATTTGCATGGGAGACCACCAAGGAAGTCCAGGGTCATGAAACAGAGGCAAGGCAGGCAATGGCAAACCACCTCAGAACCAGTCTTCCCTCTAAGCTGAGTTAGTGTGAGCTAGCTCACAGTTTTTTAGCCTCCGGCTCACGCATTTTTGTCTCAGCTCAGGAAGGATGGCTCCAGAGCAAACTAATTTATGTAGCAGCCAAATCGTTCACTCACAACTTTAATGCCAGTAGCTCACAAAGTAGAACTTTTGCTCACAACACTCCACAGCTTAGAGGGAGCTTTGCTCGGAATGTGTCTTGCCTTGAAAATTCTACAGGGTCACCATAAGTTGGCTGCAATTTGAGACCACTTTCCACCAAATGCATTACAGTGTGAAGTGGAATTCTGTGCTGGAATTTCTGACACCAGAACTGATCCTGGACAAATTGCAGGGCCTGAATCACATCTGGATGACGGTTGATATCTGATTTCCCCTTTTCAAAATACATTACCTGAAAGCTGTTTTAAAAATCCTTAAAAATCTGGCTCATTTTTCCATCTTGAAATCAAATTTATTTATGTACTTCATTTATACCCCACTCTTCTCTCCAGTGGCGACACCAAGTGGCTTACAACATTCTCCCCTTCTCCATTTTATCTTCAACTCTGTGAGGTAGGTTGTGCTGAGAATGTGTGACTGGCCCAGGATCACCCAGCGAGCTTCTGTGGCAGAGTGGGGATTTGAACCTGGGTCTCCCAGAGTCCAATCTGACAATCTAACCACTACTCCTATTCCCTCAGAGAGATAAATAGGCCCTGTACCTAGAAGATGGACTTGCTGAGCAGCTAGGAAGTGTCCTTGAACCACTATCTGCATGTATGTTTCAATTCAAAACTATGGTTGGAATTGAAAACCACGGTTTGACATGCTATCTCAATTAAGCCATTCCTGGTTTTGTTCAGCAGTTTCATCAGTCTTTACTTTTGTCACTACTCCTTTACAAAGTGACCCTTATAAATTGCAGCTTGGGCTAAGTAAAGTCTTGGTTAACTGCGTTAACAAAGGAATATGGCTGTTATGAAATGCTGCTTTTTCAGGCAGAAGCATTATCTTGAGAAGCCGGTAATGTCCACTGAACTTGCTTGTTCAAGCTTTGATTATATATACTCTGAAGGGGAAATAAAACTAATGTGGGGAGAATTAATAACAAGCCTACCAAACGCATAATGTTTATGCTGCTTAGAAAATTGAGATCGTAGTGTAGTGGCTGTAGAAGAATCCTTGTGACAGTATATTTCTTAGTGGGATGTAATAAGTGCTGGAAAGTGTCAGGCATTGCTCAGAATATTACTGATTCCACTGCAAAGTGCTATGTGTTTTGCTGAAAGGATTCTCAAAGCAATTTGAAAGTAAGGTTCGTTGTTGTCATTTGGCGCTTTCTCCAAAATATGACAACACTTTCAAAAATATTTCATTAAATGTTAATACCATAACAAGAACGATGGGTTGCATCCAACACTGATTCTGCTGGCGGAAAGCTCCTTCTGCGGCAGGAGAGCTCCACTGTCAATGGAATGGAGCCATTGGACAGAGCCTTATGGCTTCTTGCCACCCCATCCTAAGACGCTTATATCAGTAGGCAGCTTATGTTGGCATGGCATTGC